CACACACACACACACACACACACACACACACACACACACACACACACACACACACACACACACACACACACACACACACACACACACACACACACACACACACACACACACACACACACACACACACACACACACACACACACACACACACACACACACACACACACACACACACACACACACACACACACACACACACACACACACACACACACACACACACACACACACACACACACACACACACACACACACACACACACACACACACACACACACACACACACACACACACACACACACACACACACACACACACACACACACACACACACACACACACACACACACACACACACACACACACACACACACACACACACACACACACACACACACACGCGCACACACGCACAGACGCACACACGTACACACGCACGCACACATACACTGTATACAGATAGGAAAGTAAAAATCATAGACTTTCTCGAAAATAAGATTAAGAGCACAAACTATATAGGTACATATTTACACTATGCCAAAAATATTCAATTTATTTGCTTATAGGAAACTGACACCTCACGCTAGTAGTTTTGTTTGTAAAACGAAATGAATTGATTTTAAGGTCAAAAAAGAGATTTTTTGGTGATAACGTTATATGACGGCTTGTTGTCGTGTCTTACCTTAAAATTGGAGCAACGAAAACAGTGAGATCGACGATGTAGGCATATGTTGGTTTTGGTGTTTGGAGGACGTTTCCAACTAACGAGAATCAGTACTTGAAATTTATTAGATTTTTTTTTTTTTAATTCTATTGAATAGGAGAGATAGAGAGAGAGAAGTGCTGTTATGCAAGAGATAAAGTACATACTGGAATGAATTAGTAGCGTACGTGACATTTATCACGTCTACAGAAAAATTATTTTATTTGTACTATATTAGAGCGAGATGATATATTTTAAATTTTTCATAATTACTTAAAAATTGAAAGTGTCGCAGATTTTTTTTTATTTTTTCTCTCCCTGTCAATCTACGCGTCTCGTCATGCGGGATAATTCTTTAGGTTTTTTGCTATCTTCCTTTTTAAGTAAAGTTTTTCGCAGTAATGTGTTTGACTTAAATTTTCCCCCCACCTTACCCGCGTAATGAGTTACTGGTATCTGAAAACTTTTGAAGTCAAATTTGAGTAAGTTATATGTTATGCGATATATGGAAATATTTACGGGTACGGACTACTTTAGGTCCAGTGGAATTTTAAAGAAATTAATTTTTTATCAGAAAGAGCGTATTTTAAATAGTACATTTAAAAAAAAAATTGCGGTAATTGCATTACTTAAGCCAAAAAAAATTATTTAATTTCTATAAAAATCAGCATTTTGACGACTGTAAACATCGAAACACGATGGTTTCTGTCAAATTTGGAAAATATAATCGCATTGTTGCCGGATTGTGATAAAATTAGTAGTTAATGGAAAATTGTGATTGCCCATACCGGTCCATAAATATGCAACAAGAAAACGAAGCAACGACTTATCGTAGGGTGGCGGCTTTGCCGCCACCAAAAAACATCAACCCATACCTGGCTACGCCGACCGGCATAGACTCCAACGGCCTGGACACAGCTCAAATTGAATTGAAAACGTAAACTTTTTCACATAATTTCTTGCGATTGCGCATACGAGTCCATAAATATGCAACAAGAAAACGAAGCAACGACTTATCGTAGGGTGGTGGCTTCGCCGCCACCAACAAACATCAACCCATACCTGGCTACGCCGATTGGCATAGACTCCAACGGCCTGGACACATCTTAAATTGAATAATTGAAATGAAAAGTCTCAAATAAACACATTTATATTCTGGTTTTATCATCTGGCCTAGAGCTATTGAAAAAACAGCCACTATCATTCTTGTTATGTACGTTCTTTTACTATGTTTGACAACTCCACATTTATAGAAATAAAAATATCAGTTGTCATATTATTTATAAACAAAAAATAATATAGAACGGTATTACCATGAATATATTTATTTATAACAAATATTAAAAAGCAATTGGCAACATCGCTAAAATCACACATAGACGCTCTTAGTGTTACTGTCAAATCGAAAAAATTAAAAACAATATGGCTACGTGAGAATGTCGTGAATAAATCATATTCTCAATTGTTTAGCTTACAAATGTGTTTTAATAATATTTGTTGCTTTAATCAGGTTAGTACACACTTATAGAAGATTAAAAAGTGTAAAAATATTATGGTTTTACTTAATCTTTATGGAAAAAGTGACAACATTACTGTCTAGAGTTTACATTTTGTAAATTCTCCAAAGGAAAATATTACGGGTACTTCTAAATCTAAACTATAAAGCTCATTACAAATACAAAATAGTATGTATCTACGTTAAGGTCGAATATTTAAACTATATATTTCCTTGTAGTCTTATGAAATAGACGTGATATATTTCCTGGTTTATATACCGGGCCTCTAGTGAGAGATATGTCGCCTGAGGATAAACCTAACTGAAGTTAACTGGTATTGATGGTTATGGAGCCCTGGAATCAACTAAATACTTGTATTGTCCGTTTGTGCACCCTTGGATAGTACAATGTGACCTCTGGATAGTACAACGTGATATCTGGGTAAATGTGCTTCAATCAATCCTAACTGGATAATGCGGAGTATATGCAGGATAATATACAGGAGTATGTTGAAGAGAATTTACAAAATTATATACAGAGGTATATACAAGGGTATATACAGAGGTATACTCGGTAGAAACCAAAGATATTTGAAGGGATACAGCCTAAAAAGAGAATTTATTTCTATGTTTAAAATATAATAAGTAACGTTAATTATAACCTATAATGCTTACCAGTATGTAATGGGGCCCTTGGGTGAATGTACTTGTTTCTAAGCAGGGAATACTTGAGTATGAATCGAAGTAAACTGTAGCTATGATTTCTTTCAAATCCAATTAATCGGAAGAGTTTCCAACTGGAACAACTCTTAGTAGGTATCGATAGCTTAGCTTACGAAATCAAAAACTGTAACAAATTAAAAATCTGCCATGGAGATCTCATGAACTCCTTAAGAAGAATGTCAGATTTAACCTTACTCAGGTACTTCCTGTTTCAATACTTAGTTTAATTGATCTATTTCTTAAATTACCTATTATTTAATTAATTAAGTAAGAAGTGAGATAGATATCTCTTTGTATAGAGAGAAAAACAAAGATAGAAGGTTCTCATTACATACTCTGTACTAAATATATTTTTAAGTTACTCCAAGAATCATTTCGTAAAAGAATTTTGCACAAGAATGATTGACACATCTCAGTTTTCATCCTTGTCATATATCTAATAATGTAAACAAAAACATCTTTAATAAATAATAAATATGAAATTAATTTCTAATTTAGTCAGGTAATAACAATATGTACATCTTGAAGGCTAACGTCATACTTCTGTATTGTATTTATAATTTTAGGAGAGTCATCCCTGAAATGTACACTTACTAAAGAAAATCGACTACCTTAGGAAAAAGTAAATAACAGACAAAAAGAATGGAATATAAGATATATCAACTCCAAAAGTACAACTAGGTTCAAGTAAGATAAGTTTATCTACATAAAAATTCTTTTTTGTTAAATATTAAATAAAAATTATGGTAAAAATTATGATACTTGGTACATAAATTCTTTTAATCAGGATATTTATTTTATAATCCTGTAATAATTTTTTGACATAATTCGACAGAAAAAACTTTAATATTAACAATTTTGTAACAAACGGACATATGGATGGACAACATTTATTCAGGTTTCTTAATTAATTATCTTATTTTGTTATTATATAATGGAAAATATTATTGTTTTCTATTTTTTTTTGTACCTAATGTTATTAAACATTTATCATCTTCTGAAAGTATTTGTAAATGGAACCACAATGTTTTTAATTACTACAAAAGACCATCCGTAGAACACTTTAATGTTTATTCAGTTAAGCATATAGAAACAAATTTAAGTCAAATCTTGATTGAACCTTTATAACAAGACTTTCCAGTTTTACATTTATTTTTGGAAAAACTTATTTTGTGGTCGTAGGAAAGATATTGTATATCACTTGTGTAAAACAATTTTTTCACACTCGTGTGATCTTCAAACTCCACTTATGCATTATGGCACAATACATGTTAACTATTCTTAAAAAATTATTTACATGAAATTTGATTTTATTATTGACTAGTACATCGTAACAATATAATTTTGGAAATATTTTAACATAAATTTTGCAGGTATCCCGAAACAAATGAATAATGCAAGCAAGATCTTCAATTCGAAATGCAAAAAAGATAGAAATAATCTCGCTTCCACCTCGGTTCTTATCCGTTATTTATCCGAACGCGGCTACCAACTTATATGGATATCCGCTATCCAGGCCAGCGTTCACTCGTTTGGGAATTCCGTGCGTTTACCACGGTCGCAACCTCCATTCCAAACAACCAACATCGAATTCCATTCAAATTCTCCGGACCTTTTCGGGCTCTGTACCGTATTTTTCGCCAACACTCACAGATCTTCGTTCTCTTTTCCGACGACCGAGTAAATTATCATCGGCTTTTTGAATTTGCTGCGGCCAGTATGAGTTGGAGGATGGCAGTATTAAATTATATTCGCACTGACTAAATTTGCTAGAGCTGGATATTTATAACTAAATCTAGAATACTCGCGGTAGTGTCAGAATGTGTTAAAATTAGTGATGCGACATCAATACGAAACATTGATGTTGGCCATCGATGTTAACATCGAAAGCCAACATAGATGGTATGAAAATATCGACTACAAAACATCGATGTTTGATGTTGGTGATTAAAAAATATTAAAATAGCGTATGTAAATTTAAAAAATCAAGGAAAATTTATTTATTAATCATAAACTATGAACATGTTTAAACCTTACAAACTAAAAGTTATTTAATTTTAATAATAAAATTATAGAACCTAAATATTTTGCCAATAAACTTTATCTATGGACTGCATAAATAAAATTTTGTTTAATTTCTTGGCCGAAATCCTATTTCTGCGGTCCGTAATCGTCTGTCCTGCCTTAAAAAATAACCTGTCTGCAGGAACAGAAGTAGCCACTGTCGATAAATATACATTAGCGGCTTTTGATAATTTTGGATAAGTGTTTTTCTGAGTTTTCCACCACTCCAATGGGTTTGTATTTAACGGCATCAATGGTGATCGCAAATATCGGGTCATTTTGCTTAAATGCACGTCATAATCCACTGCTGTTTGTGCCACTAATCTTTCATGGAGGGCCCACAGATTAACACTTAATTCGGAGTCTATAGCAAACAAAAATAAATGATTTTTAAATTATTTAGGAAAAACAAAAAATTCGTATTTACCGCTTGTACTAGTGGTAGGTTCACCCATTCTTGCTTGTTACTGCAGATTAAATGTAATTTCGTATATCTCTGCACTAATGAACTCAACAGCTTTCGTGCAGCTTCTTGGGTCTCGGAAAAACATTTTTTTAAACCTTGGGTCTAACACTGTAGCCATTGCTAGGATATGAACTTCAGCTGAGCCAAAAAGCTTATCTATTTCTTTTGCTATGCAGTTTTTAAAGCTCTTGCAATACTGAGTCCTTTTATATTAGCTGTAGTTTTGATAGCTTTATTGATATTTTCTTTTAATTTGTAATTAACTGGAATAACTGTACTATATAGAAGTAATGAATTTTTGGCCAGAAATGTCGTTTGTTGCTTACAATAATGGATGAAATATATGTTTGATTCACTCTAATTCTTTGATTTCTAGTGATGTGACCATTACAGGAGCAAAAACATGTTTATTTAGTATAATATTTACATTATCTTTTAACTCTAAAAACCTTTCTATCATGAGATATGTCAAATTTCACCTAGTCGGCATCTCCTGCTTAAGATTTTTGTGTTCATTTTCTTCCTTTTGAGCTTTACGAAGCACATCACTAGCATGCACACTTTGCTTAAAGAATGTAACAATGCTTTTTATTTTGCTACTTAAGATTCCCAGTTCTTCTACAGATTTTCTTGACTTTTCTGCAACTAAATTTAACTGATGAGCAAAGCAGTGTAAATGCTTCTTTTTGCCAAATGCAATGTCTATGGCCTTGGACATATTTGCAGCCTCATCTGTTACTACAGCTGAAACACTTTCAGATTAAATTCCCCATTATTGACAAACATTGTTTAAAGCTTAGGGTCTTCGCAAAAATGAAAAGTTACACCTAGAAAGCTTTTAGTGTTTCTGGTCTCTGTCTAAACATCGGTTGTGAGGGAGTAATAATTCAAAAGTGCAATTTTGTCTCTACATAGGGCTTCATATTTTTTTTCTAGTACATTGTCTATTGTTATTCTCGAAGGAATTTTATATTCGGGAGCGATGGTTCTCATAAGATTTTGAAATTCAGTGTCTTCTACAAATCACATTGGTTGGTAATCACCACAAATCATATATAATATAATATTTATAATTTTATTATATTTATTTCCTCCCTCTCTATAAGACGAGAAATTCGCAAAAGTTTCCTTTACTGTTCGCTGTCGCTTAAAACTGTGCAATTTTGCTTTTCTGTTACTTCCTTATTTACTTATTTCGCTGCATAATAAATTAGTATTTTCATCAGGATCGATGTCAAGATTATCAGTTGTACTTAAGGTTGAGGCTAAAGAGCAAAAACTAGATACTGTCACTTTGACGGCTGTGATGATCGCCAACATCCTGTGGAGGAGATTGCACTTTAAATACTTCTATTGCCGCGTTTAAAAATCCACATCGGATGCATCTGAGATGTAATAAATCTTTGATCACGTGATTCAGTATACTTAAATGTAATGGGACAGATGTGTCCAATGTGGATAAAAAACGCTCGAGATGTAAAAAAATGCATCCGATGTGGATTCTCAAACACGGCATTTATTATGTATAGATTTAATGTAACATCTTTGATTTGACGTGTTTCCACAAGTCTTAATTTTCTTATTACATAAATTATAAATGGAGTATTCCTTACTTGTCTCATTAAAATATTTCCATACGTTACTTTTCGGAGGCATCTTACTTTTTGTACTTACCAAAATCATAATAAAAAAATTACTTGCTACCTATAAATTTTCATACTTTTAGATTAACACCAGATACCTACACCTATTAATAAGTCTTAAATGAAACAACTAAATAATAAATAACATGTAAAACAATTCATTTTTAAAAACCCAGTATTGTTCGAAGGGATTTTGAAATTGTACAACTTTCAATGTCAAAATTGTACACTTATGCGTTCGATTATACAGCCACTAAATATTATTCTTCTTTTTCATTGCCTGCTTACGGCCTACCACTACCCAATGCATAACATTCTTAGTTTTTTTTAAAGAATATATAAAATCGACCTAACCAGTTTCGATGTACGAATTTCGTTCGATGTTTTAAGAAAAACATGTATGGTAACATCGATGGCAAAAACATCGACCATCGAATACGAAACATCGATGTTTTCAAAACATCAATAAGCATCGCACATCACTAGTTAAAATTACATAACAATTACAGTTTAAATTATAATTTATTTAGTCTTGATATAATTCGTAAAACAAACTGGTCTAATCAATTTTTGGTAAAATTTAAATGATTTGGGTTGGTACTTTAGCCGCTTCCACAGACGATACCGTTGAGTTATAAACTTAGTCTAAACTATTTATTATCGGCTATTGAACTCTTTCGAATATGGTTTGCTAGTGTCGAAGCGAAAACTACAGAGACTACGCAATAATTTGAGAAGTAAACGAACGATATCAACGTTGATAATGGCTAAGCCGCGTTGGGATTATGGGGATATCTGTCATTGTGTGCCTATTTACAATTCACATCACACAGCTCAAGATTTAAGCAGACCTGCCAACGGTGCACACTCTAAAGTTATCTCCACGCAGTCAGGCGGCCGTTTACTGTAAACGTTGTCAGTTTATATAAATAAAAATTTCATTGGTTTATTAGGTCAAATTTTTATTTTCCGTCGTTTAACCACATCACCACATATATTTCGGAAAAATTTCCATCTTCTGGTGCAGTCATTTTAATTTTCTACTTGCACAAATGCTAACTCTCTATAGTTTTCGCTTTGACGCTTGCAAACCATATTGCAAGGTTTTCAATGGCCGATACTCTATAATTACTGTTATCGCAGGTATTATTTATTTGTTTATTGATAATTAATAAAATTGCTTTATAGAGTCTTTTTGTCGTCCCCGAAGTCCCATTATATGTAGCTTCTAATCACAAGCATACTGTCGTTTATAATCTGTATCAGGTTATGGCACCCAAATAGAAACCAGCAAATTTTGGAAATCTGCATTAAAAAGCAAAGTAAAATCTTTACTATTACATTGGTCATATACACTTAAAAAAAATTCTCGACTAGTTTTGAAATACGCCAATAATTTCTAAATACAGAAATTACACGAGTTCATATCGAGAAATTAAACGAACAAGCTAGTTGGGTCGACTAAAAATTTCAAATCAAGATTTAACCTAATTTAAGCAACGCATGAAATGTATGGGAAACAGTTTCCAATAAGAATAAAATTTCTGAAGCTCTAGGTAATGGTGCTACTGTTGAATAAATAAAAAAATGTAAAACAGAGATAGAGTCCATAAACAAAATGTAATAAATATATTGCCCAACACTTTATTGTAACAAGTGTAACTTCCGAGGTTTAACAACTAATCAATATGTGTACAACAAACAAAGAAATGTGGATGAAACGTCATAGCGTGTTCGAGCAAAGAAATAAATAACGTCAAGATCAATTGCTTAATAAATTCTATGATGTTTAAAAGTGAAAGATCAACTAGAAGATGTAGCCAAACATATTCGTCTAAGATCTGAAGTAGGGTCGACCTTCACCCGTCTGTTTAAAGGATGAAAGTTTTTTTAATTAATTCAATACGTTTATAAACATACCGCAAATGTGTTGCCTAAGAAAATACGGTCCAGAATATTTATTTTCATAAATAAAAAAAAAACGACAATCTGTAAAGTATTCCCAGAAATTAATCAGCTCAACGCAGGATGGATTTAAGCTTTAGTTTAAAATTCGGTATGAGTTATCTTTTAAATTCTAAATTTGCATGTTTCCTCAAATATCTTGAATACGGTCCATTTTAGGAAAATCATGTATAAGACCAAAAGTATACAGAATAACATCACAAGCAACTTTTATGATGATTTCTATACTTTCTTAATCTGTATATAGTAAGGAAAGTAAAAATGGCCGTGGCCCCATTTTCTTAGGCTACTCATTTGCGGTATATTTATAAATATATGGGTAAAGGGCGACCTTACTTCGAATCTTGTACTATATTGCAAAGCTGGCGAAGGTGTGAGAGTGTGAGTGGAGCTACAGGACGAGACGAGAAAAGATAAAGTCAATTTACCAGAATCCCTGTTTATAAATAGAGTACTAAATACTTTACCTCTAGCTCTTGAATGCTTCCGAATCTATGTCAAAAGACCAACGCACATTAAAATTGTTGCAAGAGCGTCATTGCACTGTTGAATTGGTAAAAAAAGAACGAGTACAAGTTTGTAATTCTAATTCTTATATCTTCTAATAAAGAAGAGAATGCTAAAACTTGGAAAAAGTCGTTAATAAAGTATTATGGTGGTGGTAAAAATGACCATAATAAAATTAATTACCAACAACTTTTAAAAAAGTAAAGTGACAGGAAAAATGATTCTCAAGATTCTGCATTCGTCATAGAAGCATTTTTGAACTCAATAAGTCGTCGTTGGTTCTCTTCTTGTGAAGATTATAATCATTTGTTGAAAATAGCCAGAGTACAAAAGCTCTCCGATTTGGAAACATTAATATTGGGATGTTTGTCGAGGGTAAATAAGTTAAAAATGATCTAAAAATGTCTGGTAATATAATCCTTTTTTTCTATACTTGCAGTTGTAGAGAAGAACATTACATCCTGTTTAAATAAAGATACCTGCAGTTTTGTAAAAGACGGTAAAGTTGTTGGAAAAGGCTCATTAATTATACTAGATGTACATCCCGAAAAGCAAGCTGAAATAACATTGTCACGAACAAATTGTGCACCAAAACAAAAGAAACGAACATAGTTTCTTAAAAAGACGTAACATTGAAGTACGCTGATAAAAATGAGTTTTAAAAGTAGAACCAATAGGTCAGAAAAACCCGAAGACATTATTGATTCCGATGTCTGTCGACTGATGCCTGTTAAACCTATTGGTATTGCTAGATAATATTTAGTATTCTAAGATGACTTTACTAGATATCGCACTGTATACTTTTTAAAATAAGAGTCAGAAGTAAAAGATAACCTAGAAAATTTTTTAGACAAGTGAACGTTTATTCAAAGAGTTCTTAACTGATAGAGGTACGGAGTTTATAAGTCAAAATATAAAAAAGTTAACTGCAAAGTTCGGATAATGTCATATACACCAGAAAAGAATGGTGCTGCGAAGAGAGAAAATAGAATTTTGGTATAAGCAACTCGCACTATGCTACACGCTAAAAGTCTTCCTAAAAATATTTGGGTGGCAGCAGTGAATACAGCTGCTTATGTTTTAAAAAGATCTAGACCAACTTCTGTAGGAGATAAAAGGTCAATACTGCTATGGTCTGTTAAAACCCCCTGTAGACGATTTTAAAATATTTGGAACACAATATGTTATAAGTTATATCTTAAAGATAGTACTAAAAATCTGATGTGTCCAACACATGACTTTCCTATCTAGTTATTATAGGCTTTTTCCGGTTATTTTGTACAACCTATTGCAGCATCTCTATAAATATTTAGAGGATAAACTAAATATATACATTGTCCACATACATCTACCTCGAAACATTTTTCTATAGATATTCATTGAAAACGAAAATAGTGAAAAATTTAAATTTAGCACTTTTCCATTACGGTCCATTTTAGAAAAATCATGTATAAACAAAAATTATAGAGATCGATATCGCAAACAACTTTTAGTTCAACAATTTTCATAAAAATCAGAATTTTGCACCTTTTGTCAAATTTCTCAAATAAGGACCATTTCAGGAAATTTTGACATAAAACAAAAATTATAGATAATAATATTAGAAGTAACTTTTATTTGAACAATTTTCTTCTCCAAACATAAATAACAGATATATTCCATAAAATATAAAAACGGCCTCCCATAAAGTACCCCCGCAGATGTTCCGACTTTGTCCAAAATCTAATCATTTCACGTCAGGCCGAAATAAACCTTAAGTTTATAATTTAATGTTTTTTTCTTTATCCGTTTTTGAGTTTTCTTCAAAATTCGAAATTTACACATTTTCTCAAATATCTCGAATACGATCCATTTTAGAGAAATTATGTATAGAATAAAAATTATAGAGAATTATATTACAAACAACTTTTATTTGAACAATTTTTATAAAAAATTATTTTTTTTACATTTTGTCAAATTTCTCGAATACGGACCATTTTAGGAAAATTTTGCATAAAACAAAAATTATAGATAATAATAATAGAAGTAACTTTTATTTGAACAATTTTCTTCTCCAAACATAAATAACAGATATATTCCATAAAATATAGAAACGGCTTCCCATAAAGTACCCCCCCACATGTTCCGACTCTGCCCAAAATCTAATCAGCTCATTGGACGCTGAAACAAAGCTTAAGTTTAAAATTTGGTGTTTTTCTGTGTATCGGTTCATGAGTTATGCGTTATACAGACACACACACACACACAGACATCATCGCGAAAACAGTCAAAACGGATTCAGGGGACCTCAAAACGTAAAAATCCGTCGAAAACTTGAGGTTGAAAAAAATCATGATTCCTATACTTTCCTTATATCTGTATACAGATAGGAAAGTAAAAATGGATCGATATCAGCGGCTATCACGATACCTTTAGAAACTCCAGAAGGTATAAAACTTCGAGATAGAATTGATATAAGAAATCCAAGTATATATAATGATGCTTGTGCAATGCTTTGTATGGAGGAACCAGCTACTGTGAAGAAGGCTCTTTCGTTGGAAGATGCAGAAAAGTGGAGGAGTATCTCGA